CCATCCCTCATAGAAAAGAAGAGGAAATCTGCATAAAAACACTTCCTGAAGATGTCAGGCCCCCAAATAATCATTTTCTCTTGTCAGTAGCTCCTTTGCCCCACCCCTTCCCATAAAGCCTTCCCATAAAGCCTTTCATTTTGTGCGGTCCCTGGGAGCACCTCTCTAGTTGCTAGATGGGATGCTGCCCAATGCGTAAAGTGCTTAATAAAGCCAATTTTATCTTCAAATTTACTTGGTTGAATTTTGTTTTTAAACATAGGTAATTAAAAGTTTTCCAGCAGCCACATTAAAAAGTAAAAAGAAACAAGAGAAATTAATTATAAGATCTTATTTAACACGAGATATCTCAAATATTATCGTTTCAACATGGAATCCATTTAAAAATTATGAATAGGCTATTTTACATCTCTTTATTTGTACTAGGTCTTCACATGTGGCCAGTGGCTGTGGCAATGGCCGGCATACATCCTAGAGGTCTCACTCTCAACCTTTAGGCTGTCAGCCCCAAACACTTTTCTAGATCCCCACCCCATGACCTTATAACAGGACACAGGGAGAGGCTGGAGCTCAATCACCCAGCCGAGAGCAGCCCTTGGACGTAGACGTCAGGGAATCTGTATCACTCGTCCTTTTTTAGAGCACAGAGACCTAAATATTGCCTAGGGGTCTGGGGACATGGTGATGGAGTGATGGGGAAGAAAAGCCAAGGCTAAAAGACAAGGTCAGCCTCTCAGTAGGCTCTTTGTGCTGTAAGGCAGCCCTGAAATAGCAAGGGTGGGTTCACAGGACCTGAGGGTGGAGGTAGAGACTTGGTCACCAGACTGCCCGCTAGCCCATCACAGGGGAAGGGATGGGGCCAGGAGCCCGCCCCTTCTGAGCTGAGGCCTTCCATCAGGACAACACGAGGGACAGGAGCACCTGGGAGTCCTTGCCCAAAGGGCTCGGCTACCTGGACCTTGCAGGGAGATGGTTCAAGTAGCCTAAATTTATGCCCCTGGGATGAGCAGAGACACCCGGCTGGACAGTGAGGCCCCCAAGCAAACCAACTGTAGCCAAATGGACATATAGACAGACACTGGATTCACAGTGAGCGGGGTTCCAAGACACACCCTTGAAGGTAAGAACTAGGGCTAAGCTAGGGGAGAGAGAGATCCCAAATATGTGGCTTAAGGGGAGAAACCAACACAAAAGCTCACGTACACTGTCCATCTCAAATCCAACATCCTGCGGCTCAAACCCTACTGTCTTCCCAGAAATGGGAAAGAGGGTGGTAGACTGCCAGCTGGTTGTGCCCACCCAACCAGCTTGTGACCTGGGGTGCCTGCACCATCTTTGCCTCTGAGATCAGGATCAGGTCTGGTGGGAACCCACCCCAAGCTGGGCACTTACACACATACTCACCCGTCATCTCATTGAATCCCCCCGACAACCCTGCAGGGTGAGTGCTAGTGTCCCCATTTCACAGATGCAGAAGCTGAGGCTCGTAGGGAACAAGGAACAATTTAGAGGCCCGGATCCAGCAGGCTGGCAGAGCCAAGATTCACTCATGGATCCGGCTGATCCCTAAGCACAGACTTTTGGCTAATTATAAAATGGAAGGTACTAGTAGGCAAGAAAAAGTGCTTCTGTCTGGAATTCTGATCTCTGGGTGTGCTTGATGGTAGGCAGGTGCAGGTGTGCTGGACTGAGATGATTAGGACAAAGGTCCTTAGTGGCTGTGATGCATTCATTCACTAATTCAAAAAATATTGATCGAGCCCCTCCCTACTCCGTGCAGAGGACATTGCTGGGGCTATAAACACAAATAAGCCACAGCTGTTGCCTTGGGCACTCACCAGGCAGTGATAGAGATCATAAACAGGTGATTTAAATAGCGTGTGTTCACAGTGATACGAGATGGAAGGACGGGGAGCAGAGGAGGCGAGGAAAGGCTCCTCGGGAGGAGGGTGGTCTTGGGGAGTGCGCCCAGTGGAGATGGGGCTGAGGTAGAAATTACGCGTGAAGTTTCAAAGGCTGAGTGAGCACAGTGTGCCAGAGGGGAATCTGGACCCCCCCGTGTGTGGTGAGGTGGACACAAAAGGGAACGTGCTCGATTGGAACCACATATGATTGTTCAACAATAGTGACCCCTGACTGAGCTTGTCCTGAGTGCCAAGTGTGGCCACAGCCACACTTGCCAAAGGCGGGACGCGGATCCAGGGCTGGTTGCCCCATGGATGGGCGTGTAACGATCGCTGTGAAATATTTTTGTATTCAAATGGTGAGCACTTACCTAGTGCCAGGCACTGAGCTTTACGAACATCCTCGTGTAATCCCACAGCCTCTAGAGGCGGCTGCTATCACCCCAACTTACACAATAGGAAATGGAGGCTTAGTGAGGTTAAGAAACTCGGCTGGAGGTGGCCCGGCCAGTACAGCTGAGCCGGCTGAGGCCCGGCCAGCCACCACTGTGGGCTCATGTGCCGGGCACCAAGGTCAAGGGTTTGGGTCCCATCCTCTGAGTTTGTGGAAAGGGGTGCTGCTGCTCCTGGTGGGGAACGCCATCAGCAAAGGTGGGCAGCGCTGGAAGTGCACCTCCCTCCCCTTCTAGACTAGTACTGCGGGCACCCTCTGCCCTGTATCCACCGTCCTCCCAGGCTGGTCTTCCCAGTGGGATGTCGCCCGCCACATGGCACTTTTCCGCGTAACACCTTTCTCACTTAGGAGGACTAATGAAAAGGCCGTAACAGCCCCCACTTTACAAACAAATTCAGCCTAAAACGAATTAGTAAAACTCGAAATGCTTTACCTAAGAGAAACCTTTCAGGAAAAAAAAAAAATAACTTATGATGTTTATTAAAATGTTTTTGCAGTGACAGGATGGGTCACCTGCATGCCCACCATACCAGATTTCACGGGAAGTTCCTCATAGTGGGATGTAACAGTGCTGACTAGCTATGCATAAGGCTAAAGGCGGTGGCTGCACAGAACAGCGATTCAAATGCTTGGGCACAAAGGGACCCAATTCGGTATCCTGTATGGGCGCAAGTACTTCCATTATTTATAAAATTCTAGGAAAGGCAGGTATTGCTGTGTAATCCAAGGCCCCCATTTTACAGATGGGAGAACCAAGGCTCAGAGACGTTCTGTGATTTGTTTGTTGACCTGAAACCCCAGGAGGCCTGGTGACTGCGTCCAGGAGACTGGGTAGGGTGGGTCTACTCCCTTCTCCCGGCTTAGCAAAGTACACACAAACATAGGTGTCATACCACCGCCTAGGGAACCTGACTCGGTGCTCATCCAGAGAGCAGGAAGCCAAGTGCTGCTGCCTTTTCAGACCGGGGGGCAGAGGTGGCGGGGGAGATGGGGGGGTGCGGCAGCGTGTGCTAGGTCCTCCACTCCCTCTACCCCCCGCCAGGCTCTCTGGCACCCAGCAGCAGAACCAAAAGGGCAATGGGAGGAGCTGAATGT